GGGACAATTAGAACAGAGAAAAATATGCCATTAGTTGTGATAAATCAAAGTTAACAAGTTAATGAGATTAATCAGGATAAAATATTTGAATTGTTCGACAGCACTTATATATATCATTCCAACAATATATATTAAAAGAAAATCTTAAAATGTAAAAAGAAACTGCAGTATATTTTGTGTTTTAAGCATTTAGTACCAAAAGTATAATACAATTTTATTGTTGTGGAACACTTTTTAAAATTGACTTTATTTACATTATTCGTATTGTTTTTATGTGCTCAATAAATAAAGTGGACTCGAATTTGTGATTTTAGAAATGCTGTTGTGGACCTTGTGATTTCTACCGGCCTCGCATTTCCGTTTAAACTTGAAGAATCTCAATATAACGTCCACAATATTTTCCTCTGTTGCAGTTAAACCATTTGGTGCCTCCATAAAGATTGTCGTTGTACAGGATTTACGAGCACTCACTCTCCAAACCGGAGCGTGTCTTCTGTGAGACTTGAGTGAATAACTGGAGCCATTCGCTTCAAACATTATTTGCTTGTCCTTGGCCCATGTCCATTCAATTTCAAGTTTTCACAAAAATCTTTTTAGTGTAGTCTTGCAGAAATAAAATGTACTTTTATACTGTGTTCTCAGAGGATTGAGACATTTTTTTCTTACATTGATTGTTGTAAATGTGTTTTCTGTTTTTAAGACATTAGCAAGAAAAGTAGAAAAAAAAAAAAATCTTGTTTGGGATCCTGCTCTATAGTGTTCCGTTGTCCAGCTTTGTTCATCTCAAAAGTTAATGGCAATCGCTCTGGAGGGGCAGACCCACCCCTTTATCCATATTAATTTCATGCAAGGAAGTTTAATTCTGTTGCTGTACATTCCTGAAGAAACACAAGGAAAGGGCAGGCCATGCACATTAAAAGTGTTTTATAATATTAGAAGCTTTAAAAACACAGTTTGTGAACTATAATAATGTTTTTGCATAAAAACAAGGAGTCTCTGGTTAAGACAGATTTGGCTGTGTGCCATCCAGTCCCACAGAGTTGCTCCGTTGATGATAATTAAAGTTTCTGCTGGAGGTGCTGTTATGAGATTGGGTCAGGGCCTCTGTAGAATCCAATAAGTGACCTTGTGAGGTTAGAGGGTGTTCTGCACATACACACTCATGTCCCTTCCACAGTGATGACAGATTGGAGGGGCGGAGCTTAATCTACCCAGGTTGACCCCGACAGTGATGCAACCCTGCGTGTTTGTGCGTCGGCCAAGAACAGCTCTTGGCTCATCATCTTGTAATAAACACTTGTTTAATGATGTGGCAAGGATAGGCCAAAAATGTTTTCTTTGAATCAATCTGATGCCTGAAAACAAATGCTCCCACAAAATTAACGTTTCAACAGATTACAAAAACCATTGACTTGTTGTGCAAAGCAATCGTGACAGTCTGTCACTAAAGGGGAAAAATCCTTGTTCTCATCCGGATCTTTTATTGCCCTCCGACATCTGACCCAAGTCCTCTTCTAAGCTGGCTATATTCATACATTCATGACAATGCAAAAAAGTATATTGTTTGGTGCCTTATTATCAGATGGCCACAGTGGATTTCCTTTGTCATTTGTGCAAATATTTGTATTTCCCACTGTCAAATCATATAAATTACAAATTAAATGAGTGGGCTTGCTTTTCCAATAACTTGACCTGTAATTAGAAATATGATTTTGCTTGGAAATATTTATTCCACATTATGGTATAAAATGTATCTGTATTTAGAATTTGTCCTCATGAAATGAAGGACAACAATGTATATCAGCTTTAAGATGATGCAGAAACATCAAGCCTCAAACTCTTCACTGAATAAGGTTTACTGGTTTAATTGTGATTAAACCAGATTAAACCAGTGTTAACATCTTGCGAGCCATCATCTGAATTGTCTCCCGCCTCGGTGACCTGGCATTTATCTTTGATGTTACTTCCTTAGTGTCCTATGTGTTGGACAGCTGGAAGGCTCTGTTGGTGGCATTATTGCCCCGCTTCCCAACCTCATTGACCTCCTCAAGCCAGCTCTTGAACTTATCGTTTTCAGATCCAATGACTTTCCCCCTCTACCAAAGTCAAATGCAGAAAAAACAATTTTAGATGAGCCTGAAACTTTCTACAGTCAAGAAAATAGTTAAGATGGAGGAACAGTCGCCTTTCATGGATGACTAATCTTTTCTGTATCAGTTTTTAATTGTGACATAATTCATTGATGTGGATGATTTTGCTTGTAAACTGTTGGATTTCCTATCATAAGAAAATAAAAGTGAATAAAGTTTGTCTTCCAATTGGCCTTTTTTTAAACTTTCATGCATGTCATGCATTCATTGCAAAAACACTGCATCGGGAACGTGGATGGTGACTAAGTGTGTACTATGGGCCGTCCTCCAAACGCTGCTGTCACATCCTGTAAATGCAAGTCTCCCATCTGTCCACACGGCTCTACTTCAGCATCTCAGAGCTGGTGCACTCAGTGTTCACACTCAGCCACCATTATAGGATATATACCACCCACAAAACACTGATTATCACTGTAAATATGGTAGTGTGTCATAATGTTGGTGTGATAGTTTTGATAGTTCTTTAGACCTTTATGCTCTAATTTTAGTTTGGGCCAGAATTATTCTTCATCCTTACACTTTCAAACTTACACTTGAGTTCATATGCGGACCGTGATCTTCTTACATAATTTTCTGCTTTTACAACATATTTGTTCTGAGGAGTTACTAAATAAAAAAATTGGTTACAAGATTTTTGATAATGAATTTGACATGGCTGTGTAGGTTTTTGAAAATCAGGGCCCCCCGAAACGTCCCCAGGGGCTTTGGGAAGTGCTGCTTTAGATATTGTATTGATTTTCAATTTACTAGTAAGTCAAATTCAATTCCTATCAAGCAAGAGTGACACAATGTTGGTGGCCTAAACTTTGCCCGTAAGTTATATAAAATTAGACACATGCACTATGAAAAGGTTTTGACTGAAGTTTGTACATTCACTGACACATGTAAGCTGATTTTAATTTATTCTAGCCTTAAGGCAATTGTCCTATTTCTTCTACTTCAATTATTAAAGTTGACGAGACTGCATACCATTGTTTACTTCTTTGTGGAAGGAAATGAGATCTCAGGAGTGGTCACTGAAACTGCAATCTCAAGACATGCTTATTGGTGAGGAAAATAGAGTCCTAGTAATCTTATTTTTATTAAGTTTTGATATTTCATTCATTCATCCATCTTTTTCCCCATAATCCATTTCTGGGTCGGGGGGTGGCAGTCAGAGCTGCACCCAATTCACAAAGCAGAACATATTTCATGATGTTCTGCATATGTCTTCTCAGCTGGCTTATTAATCAACTTTAAACTGTCTATAAAAACAAAGAAGAGCAGGAAAGGTGTTGGCCACTTGAATCTCAACACTGCAAACCTCTTTGTGTGACAAAAAATCTGTAATGTTAAGAGCTCTCAATCTTTGTGTGTGTGGTGTCACCCTGGCCACGTTAGCTGTCAGCCTACGACCTACTGGTAAGTCGTTTGCTGGTGGCTGATGGTCACCCTATTGGACTTAAGCACAGAGGTCATGCAGCCACTCTCCTCCTCAGCCTGTGGGAGCACCAACAGCCTGTCCACGCAGTCTCACTTCCTGACTTTGCTCACAGTCATGCAGTGTCACCAGTTTGCTGCCATACTTGCGCACTTTTTAATTGAATGTACTTTTTCACTTTTTCTACTCAACTTGAATTAACTCATTGACTGCCAGACGTTTTTAATGATTTCACTGACTTTCAAGACCAACAGAATATTGTGTGTTGTGACTATGAAAATTATGAAACCAAATTCTGAAAGATTGGACCGTCTACTTTCATCTGCAAAAATACGTCGGTGTCTAGCTAGTTTTGTTCTGTTATAATCTCCAGTCGAATAGAGAGAAGTTTGACAGAAATCACCGGACTTTCGCAGGAAGTACTCTGGATAAGATAATCAACTTATGACAAGGCAAAAGTATTTGTTCAGCACAGTTCATACACTCACACAACTCTTGATAAAACAAGAAAATAAACAGCTAAACAGAACTGTAGTCAGCCTGCATTTGAACATTGTGTAGTTGAAGCCCGTCTCACATATTCTGGTTTTTAGAAATGTTTAGGTGCATGAATCTGGATTGCTGGTTTTCCATGTTCAGTCCTGACTCTGGGCACTAGCAGGAGGCCAGTCCCTATGCTCCTCAGAGTCAGAGTTGGCTCATATGGCACTAACATGTCACAGATGTACTTTGGTGCGAAAGAGAATTACTACTGAAGACTACCCATAATATATAATGCTACCTTATTCAAACTGTTTCTGGAATAGTTTTTGTTTTATAGCCTGTTTTTCTCTTCTACATCAAAACCCAAATGGCCACCCCACACTTTGCCTAGAATATTTTTTTGTGGCTTTCATGCTCTTTTTCCACGCTGCATGCATTAAAGCAACTACCCCAACACTTTCTGTTCATTCCCAGAACTTGAACGACGCGGACATTTTGTATAATTTCGTATGTATCTGCTTGCTGCATGTCATAGCTTTAATCTTGGACCTTTTCACAATGTGATCTTTAATGCATCAGGCTGGTTTCCACGCTTGGCTCTGAGGCAGATTTTTCATTACCTCTCTCTTTGGAAGAACTTGGGTCTGACCATATACTGTAACATCATGTTCGCAATGGCTCGACATTTCCTTGCTGATAACGGTGTCATTGATAGCCCTTCTGACTGAGGGCGAAACTGCACACTGTGGCAAATCCCTTTAATATGGCTGCCATTTCAAAAGCTTTTCATCAGGATTATTGCAAATATAGACAGACTTTTTCAATGGTGTGAAAAATCTCATACCACATTCCCTCCTCGTGTAAGTGCGGGTGCAATTATTGGGATTGGTCGTCATGTTCTTGTAGACCGATTTTGAAAAGACTTTGTTCTTTTCTTGTCTTTTCAGTCGACACCGCTCCACCTGGCAGCAGGATACAACAGGGTGCGGATAGTGCAGCTCCTTCTACAACATGGAGCAGATGTTCACGCCAAGGACAAGGGGTTGGTACACATAAATATCACACTAGCGTTTATTACAAGAGACACTCATTGCATGGATGTTTTTTTTCTGGGAGCATTTAATTGCAGAATGGCTCAATATTGATAGATAATGTATTTGTCACATACAATACTAAGAACGCAGTCAAGAACATGTAGTGAAATGACTACGAACCAATATGTCTGTCCTTAGTTTGGTTTGAGCCCTTTCTTAAACATAAACTACACATTTCCAAATTGTTCATAAGTGTATTAATATGCTTAATGTTAGCTTAATGAATCAGCCACTTTTTTTTTTACTTAATGGAAGGTGTCTGAAATGGCAACACTTGTATTCTTTCCCTCCACCATTGCAGGTACTGTTTAATTTTCTTTTAGTTATGATGTACAGTATGTAGGAAAAAGAATAACCCCCTAGATAAAACCCTCCAACATTCTTCGTTCTGCCTTTAAAGGTCCTATATCACGTTTTTCTTCATGTTTCACACTCAATCCTATGCACATGTGTTATAATAATGTGTTTGATACACCACACAACAATCAAAGCTTGTGAGATTAGAGCCATCTCTTGTATAGAGGTGACGTCACCTCGACTCAAACGAGCTGATCCAGAGTCTGTTCCTCTGCCTGTGAGCCCGCCTCCCCCCGCCCGCACGCTGACGTAGCATCACGCTCTTGTCGTTTATCACTGGTACATAGTCATTTCATACATAAGAATAAACTTTTTCCAATGACAATCAGTCACATCGAGCCCTATGTCCTCGATGCACAATCAGACCCTAGTTATTTAGTTTACAGAAGTATACAGCGAGTTAGCGTCACTACTTACAGATCGAGGGGGTCCGAGTTACGTCTTTTACCGTGGGAATGACGTGTTTCCAGATCAGCTTTTGAGTAAGTCCAGTTCCATTGTCCCTGTAGTTCTGGAACAGTCTCAGTGAAGTGTCGCAGATGAACCGGTTTATAATAGAGCCATGAGATGAACAGATGAAAAAAGTCGAGCCGCTTTCTTCCTCTTCGGGCCAAATAGTGCGTCACATATTTACACCCATAACACACTTCATTCAAGTTGACGTGATCCTAACACTTTTAGTCGCTGACAAAAGCATAAAAACAGCAGCTCTATGTGGTGTCCGGAGACCAGACCACAGACGCTGGACTCGGGAGCCGGAGACTGTGCGCTCTGATTCGCTGTTTTGATCCGTCAATCACCTCCCGCCGGCTTTTCATTTATTTTTATTTTTATTATTTTTGAAAACAAACAGCATACTAATTGTGTATTGTTTACCCCGTTTTGACGAAAGTATTTAAAAACTATTTTAAATACAAAGCAAACGGGGTCATGCGCATCATATGCGTCATCAGTGTGGTTTTCGTCACTGAAGTGGACCCGAGCGTTTCTGTGCCTCTCGAGGCTGAAGGAGACAGATCGCTCTCTTACTAAAGATTGACAGAATCAATGAATAAACTACTGTGGGCTTGTGTATGAAGGCCAAATAGCACTGTAATCATGTTTAAAGCAGAGAAAAGTCAAAAACCGTGATATGGGCCCTTTAAACTAGGGGTGTCAAACTGGTGGTAGAAAGGGCCGGTGTTACTTTAGATTTTCATTCCAAACAAGCAGGAGCACACCAGACTCCACTCATTTCTTGAATCATGAAACAAATGGACGTCACGGCTTCACCTCTGTTCGCTGATTAGCCAATTGTATTTTCATTTTTGCACACCTTCAGTGATTCACTCCACACTAAACTGTATCCATGTGTTACATTTTGGTCAATGACACAAAAAAGTCCCAAAATGTCCGCGGCCGTTACTGCTGAATGTTCACAGACCCACGCTTCTTTTGTTTCCAGCTTGTTTGTCCAGTGAAGGGGGCACTACTTAAACACCAATTTGTTCACGCCCGTATTATTAACAGCATTCCAAGACAGACCTTTTTTGACAAAAGTAACAAAAGTGGACACGATTGTTTTCGTCCAAAACGCCCAGTTTATCTGCAGTTATTGAATAATATTTTTTTTGCATAATGTAAAATCTATAATTACATATTGATTATAGTTATATCCCCGACCATTAACCATTAAATAGTCTTCTCTGTCCTTCCATTATTCCATTCTCAAAGCCTCCTAAATGTAACAATTATGTCCCCAAAGTACAAAAAAAATATTTTTGTGAAAGGCATACATTTTTCTTTAAATAGTTTTAGCTGCACTTCTGAGATTATACTATGTAAATAATAATAATAATAATAATAATAATAATAATACATCTTTATTTGTATAGCACTTTTCAAAACAATGTTTACAAAGCGCTGCACAGTCAGCATAATAAACAATAAAACAGTCATAATACAAAGTTAAAACAATAAGATAGAATACAAAAAGACAAAACAAACAGAGGAAACACAAGAAGAAGCACAAACCAAAGACATATATAGACTACATAGTATTAAAAAATGTTTAGGTACAGACATTTTTATTTCATACATTTATTTTATTGTCGCTTGAAGTTAGATTGACCCATGGTACAGTTTAGTTTGTGAGATCAATAATGTTTATCTTATCTCATCTAATCTTATGTTGTCTGAGCCGTCTACCCATCTGCAATGCCTGACCTCGCAGCTGAAGGCTAAAAGTAAAGATACTTTCCTTCTCATACATTCAGATTATATGTGATTTTTACAACTACCAAAGCCCAAAGTAATATTAGTGGCCTTCAGCTAACGCTATGCAAACAAATATGCAGCACACATCCAATTTCTTAAAGAATAAAACACTAAAATTAGACGCAAACAGCATTTGTTTTAATGTTTGATTGCAGCACAAACAAATTTGCACGAATACAATAATAGGGAGTTACCGCCGCAGTTTCTTGGCCGTACTCTACTCCCCCATCGACTCTACTTTTCGCGCATCTACCGCACTCTTTTCCAATCATCCGTGAAAGCATTACCATTACCATTGAGAGCCTTATGGCCAGATCATTTGCCCTTCACTACAAATATACCTTTACATATTTTTTTTTTCAAGGTATGTTAGAAAGTGGCGAATGAAGGAAGCGAATATTTTTTTTGTAAATAGTTGTAAGAAGAGGTACTTGATAATGTTCTTTATCAATTAAGTTCAGGCGTTTAATGGTTGGTTGTAGAATGTTTTTTCAATGTAATTTGTTTGTTTGCTAATAAAAAAAAGATTAAAAACTTGAACAACTGATGGGATTCACAGTTGGGATTACAGTTGTGTCATCTCTCAACAGGGATATACACATAACTGTTTGCTGATGTATTTCTCCTTGTCGTTTCAGTGGACTGGTGCCTCTACACAATGCCTGTTCCTACGGTCACTATGAAGTCACAGAACTGCTGCTGAAGGTACCTCTCCTGACTGTGGATGATTTAATGGCGAGGATTTCGTTTTTCCATTATTTTACAATGTCTTCCGAGTGGGCAGGCAATCTTAAGCTCCTTATTCCCCCTTCTGCTCGTACTCAGTGCTGACCTAGTGCCATTGTCTCATTATTAATATGATTATACTTGTGCTCGAGTTCTAATACGTAGTCACATTCCACATGATTATAGACTGGTGTTTTTTTGTGGTAGCTATTTTCATTAATTTAATAAAAAAAAGCTACCATAGTTGTCTACTTTTACATGTTAGTGGTTGGTTTCTGGAAGGGGTCTCTGGATAAATAGTATTCTAATAAAGTTCCCTCAACATAATAATTCCTACATGCACTGTTTGTTTAATGTATTTCAGTAACTTTCAGCAGTGCAGTTACTGGTCAGTGTGTGGTCTAAACGAACACAAACATCATTGATAATTAATGATAAGAATTAATACATGCATTCAATTCTAATCAGAAGGAAGGTCAAATATTGCACTTTAACAGATAGTTTTTTATTTCCAATATGTTTTGGATTTACAGTTTAGTGAACAATTAAAAGGTGCTTATAGCGGAAATCATGTATTCATGGCCACACAGAAAGTTGGTGAAATTCATAATTGTGTTTTTTTATTAAATGTATCTGTATTCTTATGTTAAGTCGTGTAATTCAAGTAAATTTGTATTGCCTGAAATCCTTCACAAGTCCCTCTGTTTGCCAGCACGGGGCCTGTGTCAATGCCATGGACCTGTGGCAGTTCACGCCTCTACATGAAGCCGCCTCGAAGAACCGCGTGGAGGTCTGTTCTCTGCTGCTGAGCCACGGCGCTGACCCCACGCTGCTCAACTGCCACAGCAAGAGCTCTGTAGACATGGCGCCCACTCCCGAACTCAAGGAGAGGCTGATGTGTACGTGTCGCACATTCTTTCTGTTCAGTGTGGATTATGTTGTGGACAGCAGACTTACATACATGTGATAAGAGAGGAGACTATGTAATATTTATCCAAGGACTTATTTGGGGCTGCATTTTAGCAATCGGTTAAATAAGTCAGTGAATATGTGGATTTGTATATACTTTTGCACAATATACCAAAGCAAACTCCTGTTACCGTTTCAACTGCATTGAAAATATTTCTGACCACAACAAAGCTCAATAGAGTTGAATTTAAAAATACTTTGTAAACACATTTTTATTGAATTCTGCCGACATTACACCTCATCTACGTAAGGTTAAAATATCAATTCATGACTACATTTTTTGGACTGTTTCAACAATACATTATTTGCAATAACTTGTTACAGCCCTTGACCCATTCAACCTTATGAAAACAAAGCAAAACCTAGAAACTGAGTGATTGAGTGATGAGTGATGATTTGTACCTTTCATCAGTTATTGAAAATAAGTTTATGTAGTAATTATTGAGACGGGGATTATGCACTAAAATAGACTTATGAAAGATTTGTATGTATTTATTTTGGACATGCATGTTAAAGCTGGTGAACCTAATGTTAAGGGGCCTCTCCATGCATTAGCCTTGGTCTTCAAAGATCTTTAACCTGGCCCTGCTCACAGTTAATGTGAATATCAGAAGCGGTCATTGCCACTTTCTTTCCTAATTGAAAACTGCTAGTTCTGGGCTCCAAATCGAGTTGTTTCGTCTTTCATGTTGTGAAAGATGAGGAGAGACTCGATATGGGGCAAAGTAGTTCGTAATGTTCAATCTCTGCAGATAATTGCTTGTTTCAGCTTCAGTTGTCAGACTCTTGCATCATGTGTTATTAGCCTGCGGAGATGGAAACATGTTCGCGGTCGTTGAGCTGATAAAGTTATGTTTAGCACAAGGCAAATTTTACAGTTATGGTTTGGAACATTACGTCTTGACCATTGATGTGATTAATTTGTTTTGGGGTAATTTTTTCGGCTCAATGCCACAATAGCGAGAGACTGGTGATTATTATGAATTATTTTGTAGACTGTGAGGAAAAAAGCATTGTACAGTATGTAAACTTTGGGTTTTATTTAATATCTACAATGAAGCTAAGTTATAATTATTTCTAGAATTGTTTATGTAACTGAAATTGACTAAAAACCACATTTGAATGTTTACGGATATTAAGAATAAATCAATCGTTATTTCACACAATTTAAAGCTATTGCAAAAAGGCAGGTTTATTTGAACCCTAATGATCCATGACTATATTAGTAAGTAAGTAGGTAATCTTTATTTATATAGCGCATTTTACAGACCAAGGTCACCCAAAGCGCTTTACAATGTTCAGAGTTCAGATATTTTACCATTCTCTCCACACGGGGATGACGGTGAGGACACAGTGGCGCATCAAAGCCCCTAACAAACACCATCCAATCACTCACTCATTACATTCATACCTATTGTGCATATTGTTAGTGGTAGGGGAAACAGGAGCACCCGGAGGAAACTTAAGCAGACACGGCGAGAACATGCAAACTCCACTCAGAAAGCTCCTGTTCAGACCTGTGTTCGAACCCCGGATGTTCTTGATAAGAGCGAGAGTGCTTTCCCCCCAGCCACCATGTTGCCCTTTGCCTATTGACAATACTATGTTTGAAGGGACAATCTACAGAGATATGTAAAGACAAATATGTTCTGCACCAGGTGAAAAAGGATGAACGGCTGCATTTTTTGGTTACTTGAATAAAATGTACAATACATAAAATCAAATTACAACAATGTAAATGTACAATGGCATGTAATTAAGTTAAGAACACTCAGAAAAGCTGATCAAAAACTCCAGACCTTTGGACACTTGTTAATGTTACTGTAAATCATTATTTTATATATCGTAAGGAAACGCTTAGTCAATGTATAAATTATTGAATTTCTGTAGTGATCTTTTAAGGTATTGATTGAATGATCTTGATTACTGTTAAGTCTTCCTTTTTTTGTTTTGTGCAACTAAATAACAAAATGTCCGCAGAGAGGGACTGGGTATTGATCCCGAACAACCCATGAGTGAGTACACTATATCTGTCCAAAAACATTTCTAATACAAGCCTAGCTTTTCTCACTTACCGCATTAAAATCAGCATGCATCAGCTCCTCTAGGCGGACTCAACTAGGCATCTAGGCACCTCAATTGGCAGATACAGATTTATGCATATTTATCAATCAATTATCAGAGGAATAGTTGGACAATTTGATTTTCACTAGTGTAAGACTCACTGAGACTGGTCAACAGGCTATACAACAGGTATGATAGTATCCTATCATACCTGTTTGCTATTTGCGTGTATCTATATATACTGCAGAAATTCCTTTTCTTGACATTGTAATGTTGTGTTTGTTTCCAGACGAATTCAAGGGCCACTCCTTGCTCCAGGCAGCTAGAGAGGCTGACATGGCCAAGGCTAAGAAGACTTTGGCCTTGGAGATCGTCAACTTCAAACATCCACACACACACGAGACAGCGCTGGTGAGTAGTGTGGGGTGAAGTTTTTCTTAACTTTTTTGTACAGAGAGCATAGTATTAATGATGGTTCTATCTGCTTTGTGCCAGCACTGTGCTGTGGCATCACCTCACCCCAAGAGGAAGCAAGTGACAGAGCTGCTGCTAAGGAAGGGTGCCAGTGTCAACGAGAAGAATAAGGAGTGAGCGCTCTCCTATCCACTGATGGTTTTATAGGATTTTAAAGAAGTCAAACTTTTAATTTCTTGTAAAAAGTTTTTTCTACGCTCATACATTTTACTTATTATGTGGATTTTGAAAATGTCGAGCCAAATGCAAAGGCTTTAAGTTAATCCTGTCTCCACATGTCTTTTCCTTTCTGCAGCTTCATGACACCGCTCCATGTGGCAGCAGAGCGTGCTCACAATGACATTATGGAAGTGCTGCAGAAACATGGAGCTAAGGTATTATGTTATTATAAAGTGGCATCTGGCAATGGGACACAGGTTCAGCATACGCAATATACACATCTATCTAGTCTATCCTGATTCATGCATTTTCACATTTGAAAATAATTACTATTTATTATGGCATCCGCTACCTGCTTGTTGCAGCGAAGATGTTTTTTTTGGTTCCTTAGAGGGGTTTATAACACTACAACACTATTTAATCAGATATTTTCACTGCTCAAAAAACTTACATCGGACAGCTCACCTCTCCACAAATATAACTGACTAATGCCTTGTTGTGGCACATTACAGGAAAAGTCCCAAGACTTGCGTTTGAACAGTTTACACCAGTTTATGTTTAGTTTATGTCTACGATGTATTGGATGGAGTTTGAGTGCATTTCCTCAGTTGCTCTTGGACTTAACTTAACTGTGTGTGGTGGCTCAGAGCCATGGTTTAATTAGAGAGGACACATGATCCTAAAATTAATTCAAACCTGGTACCCAAAAATCAGAACTATGTAATAAAATCCATGTAACTGGATTGGTTTTTAACACAAATTATGCCATACATGTTTTTTGGACCTCAGTGAAATGGAGAGAACCATTCTAACTCCAAGTAGCTTTCTATAGAAGATCTTATATTTTATAACAATATGAAGACAGTGATGTTGTGACCTGGTTTGCTTTTGCAAAACTTTCTATGGGGCCAAAATGTCATATTTGTTAGGTAAACAAAATATTGCAGGTACCCAAGCTTTAAATGATTGTACAGTATTTAAATTGGGAGTGCAAAGGCAGTCCAATTATATTGAATCATTATTGTGTGTCCACAGGTGAATGCTCTGGACACACTGGGGCAAACGGCTCTACATCGCGCTGCTCTGGCCGGACACCTTCAGACCTGTCGGCAGTTGCTAGGATACGGTGCTGATGCCTCGCTGGTGTCGCTGCAAGGCTTCACCGCTGCTCAGATGGGAAATGAAGCTGTTCAGCAAATACTCAATGGTAAGGCCTTTGTGTTTGCTGTGTGGTTACCAGGCAGCAGCACTCTCCACTATGATTGTTTCCAAAGGTCATTATTGATGTGACGGACCTACTTAAATCTGCCGTTCAATTATTCATGATTGTTTAACTGATGAATTGAATACAGTCCATTTACAAGTGATAAATTGAGCGGTATAGTACAACAGAGGCTCAGTCTTTCATATCCACATAATTTTGGCTTGTGCACAAACATTTTGGTAGACCCAATGTCTTGACTTATTTATAAAAATCCTATACTGTAACAAATGACATGATTTGTGTGAGTTACAGCATCCTTCTATACAGTCTTTTGTATGTTAGTGGTCATGATTGTATTCAATTGTACAGTGAAAACATGTCTGTCTTTCATCAGAAAACGTTCCAGTGAGAAACTCTGATGTGGATTACAGACTACTAGAAGCTGCAAAAGCCGGAGACCTGGACACGGTGAAGGTGAGTGCAGTTTCATGGTCATTTCCATGGTCGTGTGGTTCCGCAGCATCACAGCCAAAGAAAGGAGAGCTCTATACAAGGTGCTCTGCTAAAAGGACAGTGAGGTGTAAGCTGCTTGTTCTGGAGGCTCTTTATGAATCTAAACTTTGTAATCAAGCTCTGAAAATGATCCATGATCCTTCTGGCAAGCTTGGAAAAACCATGTTTCAGCTTCTTCCCTCTTGAGGTGCAGGACATCTATCCTGCAGTTTATTTCCACGAGCTATTACCAGCCTCAACAAAAAAGCTTGGAAGATCTTGCGCTTTGTTATTTTTAGTCTTGTTTGCGCTTGTTTTTAAATCTTTCAGTGTCAATTGATTTTAACGGTGGTGACTTTAAATCAAAGGAGGGAATCAGTAAGGGTGAAAATATTGCTGAATATTTAATAAGAATATATCATAGTAAGTAATGGGCTCTACGCACGCACACCACTTCCGCGTTTTAGCTACTACCCCACTTCACTTCCTGTTCGTGGAAATGGCTTGAGTTTCACTGGAGTTCAGCAGTGGGACTGGAATTAAACTTTGGATACTGGGCATTTTTGGGACACAGCAGTGCTCTTTGATTGTGCTGTCATTGTGTTTTTATAAAGTTTACAAATCGCTCTGAGTGGCCACAGTCAAAGCTCTACCTCAGAGAGAAAGCACAGCGACACTTTTGGGTCAGTCTCACAGCTGAATGTATAAATCTAATTACTAAAAAACATCACTAAAACCGATCTAAAAGCCATAGGATAGCATAGGCAGGAAGTGAAAGAGCTGTGCTTTGTTAACAGGAAATGACATCACGCCTCCCCGTGCATGTAGCCCATAGTATACATTACTCTACTTACCTTTATACAGGGGGAACTCATAAAATTGAGTTTCTGAAAATCAACCTAAAATGTGATACGATTTAGACCAGATTGTTTTTGTTTTTTTTGTCAAATATGGCAATAAAGTTGGCTGCCCATGACATAAAAGCCTTTTTTTGTTAACATCTTGATGATATGACTAACAGATTATTTTCAAATCTAAGTCTTATTTAAGTGAGGCATAGTTATCAACACTATAAACAAATAAAGGATGTAATTCACTTGCCGTAACATGTGTCTGTCATGTATTAGTTTCACATTAAAAGTTTAATTACTTTCACCCTTGCGTGTTGGCCCTAAGCCTTCTCATACAATTCTAATAAGATATCTTAATTTATGTATGTGTTTGTAACAAGACAAAATGTGAAAAAGAGTATGAACTGTAGTGCCGCCTCTTGTTAATTGTTTAACATCTTGCCAGCCCATTCTGCACGGTTTCTTCATTTAAAATGAAACCCAGCAAAAGGTCCTGACCTTTGTGGCTACACGGTTTCTCTAATACACACCTAGCTTTTGTTATTGTAGCTAAATGTCATGTTTCCTTTACCCACTATATCCGCCCAGTGTCTTCTGTTGTCGTTCCGCATTGATTGTGGTTGGAATTCATTCTCACCAAAGGCCAAACACTGCGTCCTGCGTGTAAGATCTTTCTTTTTAGGAGAGAGAGGGCACGGCATTGAGTTTGCGATGGGCCCACTCTCGTTTCTGCTACTTTTATACCGTGCAGATGCATCCACCCACTGGATCTCACGGCTCGGTAAGACTGGGTGAATTTTTTGACAGAATTGTGTGTATAGACAGAAAAGTATAGACGAGCAGTAATGGTAATGAATCAGAGAAGCTTTTCCCAGATGTGATGCTGTCAGAGGTTGATGCTTTTAGGTTAATATACATTTTATTTCCCTCATAGCGTCATGTGTTTTCTGCATTTGATTCATCCTGCAATACCACTAGGGCAACCTGCCAGGAGCTATGGTTGTTACAGTGGAGTACCTGGGGACCCTTCTCCAGGTGCATGTCCTTGCATGACTTGTTCTGGACTATCTTTGTTGGATTCATATGGTGCATGTATATGATGTGGGAAAGAAATGCCACTGTGTTGCTGGAGATATTTGAACACAGGCGGCTGTTTTTAACCTGGCATCATTGCACAGGCTGTTGGACTGAAGCACTGATTGACATGGACATGCTTTCAGACCGTCCTCTGGAGATTTCTGCGATGTGATGCGTTGTTTGTGTCAAGAGGACCTCTTGGGTAGTGAAATATTGCCAGTATTTTGTTGTTATTTTTAAATTTGTGATGTTCAATTATAACTTTCAATCCAACTCAGTTTTAGTTTTAATTGAGGGTGTTCTCCCTGTTCCTTTCAAAAAAACTTTTTTACTTAATTTCAGTGAAATTTGTCAGTCATCAATGGGACAAGCAAAAATAGAAGTTTTAGAGACAAACTCTGTCTTATTTGTTATGTGGAATAATCAGAATCAGAATCATTTTTATTGCCATGTAAGTATCAGGAAGTCAGACTGGGAGATTGCTTTGGCTCTCGGTGCAAACTAGTCAAAAAGTAGAGAAAGAATAATGAAATGCTACAGTGCTTGAAGGTTTGCTCGTCTTATTAACCAGTCTTGCTTTAACACTACATACAAAATGTACTTAAATTATGATGTAAAACTTTATTCAAGTTTGCCGTTTGCAGAGCGCTTTTTACAATAATCCAACTATTACAACTATTCATAAACATTTGAACCATTTTGAAATATTGGTCTTTGGTCAGGCTCCAGAAATGGGTTTTCTCAGTGAAAGCTATTTTATAGATGACGATAGAAAATGTTGTGGCTTGACTGTTGATCATGTGTAACAATTAAGTGACAGACAGTAATAACAGCTTGCATAAAAACTACCAAACACCAGAATGTGCTTACTGTATGCAACGCTATGATGACTTAAAGAAAGTAATAAAATGTGGATGATTTCAGAAAGTTTAAAGCTCCACACCATAAGGCATTGCTTAAAAACCGATAACTAATTTGTGCTAAACATCTGCTACTTTAATGAACACTTGCAGACTCAGGGATAGACACAACATGTGGCATTTATCAAATTTAATAAAAAAATTTCACCATGTCATTTATCTAATACATTTAAACTGTGAACACATCAGCACCCAAAGATGTTGAATTCATTAGCTGTATTCATGTATCCAATTAAACAGTTGTTTGTTTGTGGTGATGCGTAGTCTCAGTTTAAATTGTCATGTTTTGTTATGTAAGCATAACCACAGCGTTTTAATAGCATTTTTTGTTTGCTTGCTTGATGATTCAGTCAGTATTATGTAACAATAACCAGTTGGTGCTGCTGCTTCCACAAAACCTTTTTAGATTGCTTGTTAACCGAATATTCTAATGTCTGCTTTGTTGTCTAATCTACTTGTTTTGCTTTCAACGCAGTCACTCTGCACAGCCCAAAATGTGAACTGCCGAGATTTGGAAGGTCGACACTCAACACCCCTTCACTTCGCTGCCGGTTATAACCGCGTTTCAGTGGTGGAGTATCTGCTACACCACGGAGCTGATGTACACGCCAAAGACAAAGGGTACGGACATCTAGAGCTTTTACTTTCATACTTCTTTTGAAATCCGCTTACAAAGTGCTATGTTGCTTTATGTGGATAGAGGCCTGGTTCCCCTCCATAACGCCTGCTCGTACGGTCACTACGAGGTGGCAGAGCTGCTGGTCAGACACGGAGCCTCGGTGAATGTGGCCGATCTGTGGAAGTTCACCCCGCTACACGAGGCTGCAGCCAAAGGCAAATATGAGATCTGCAAACTGCTGCTGAAGGTGAGGAATTATATTATGGACATTTAAGCACAGGTGTATACTGCTGTGTACTATACTACTACAATATACTACGACTATAATAGAAATGTATTCATATGTAATGCACATTCATAGAATAAGAGTGAATGATGGACATTTACATTGACAGAATAGCGAAAACAATTACATATAATATATTATAGTTTATGGTAGAGCACCTTCCTAAAGCTTTTAAGCTCTAACAAGATAACGTCCTATGTCATTTTAACTTTGATAAAACATGAATGTAATGGGGGGGGGGGGGGGGGGAAAGTCTACGGACAAACAATGTGGATTCATTTTGCCATTTTATTTAGGAATAAATTGGTAAATGGTTGAATGTTTGCTTTTCCAATCTACTGTACACACATGTTAAAATAATAGGCTGTAAAACTAGAGCTGCTAATGCTATGTGCCATGAAACAAAACAGATTTTGAGAATGACTTTTGAGTATGAAAATGTTTTCTAAGAAGAAGCTTCACTGTTTAGCAACCCGCGAATGAGCAATCTGTTAGTGATTTCTATTGTAAATAGCTTAAAAACTTGGAACAGAACGAAGATCGCAGTGGATGAATTACAAAAGTGACCTGTATGATTGGCGTCATGTGTAATTATAACGTATTCTGCTTAATTCATGTCCCTGCACTCATCATTCAGTTCTGAGCTCTAAACTGCAGACACTAGTGCTCGCGGGTACACAGTCACGTATTCCCATGTTGTTATGTCTGATGTTTGGAGCCAGTGGCGGAGCCAGAGGGGTAGCCAGGGTGGCCACTGCCACCTCTAAAAATACCCTTGCCACCCCCAGTGCCCCCCTCGGAAGACGGCAATGTAATATTGTTAATCTTGAGAATCTTCCGCACTTTTTCTGCCAAAAATTAAACATTCCCACGGTTTCCCCCGTCTGTGAACGCACCCTGACTCCGTGGAGCCGGTGCTGTATGCTAATGTTTTGGGTTGTTGGACTCAGGTGTGCCCAAGTCGTGATGAAAACAAAGAGGTAAGTTAGCGACGCAGAGCCAACCGTTTACATTTGACACAAAGTATAGACACACGTACTGCAGCGCATTACTTTTTAGTACTTTTAGTGTGTGTGTGTGTGTCTGTGCGTGCCTGTGTGCGCGCCTATGTGCGTGTGTGTCTGCGTGCCTGTGTGCGTGCCTGGATGCGCGCCTGTGTGTGCCAGTGTGTGTCTGCGTGCCTACGTGTGCGTGCCTGCGTTTGTGTGCGGGTGTGCATGCGTGTGTATTCTCCATTATTAATTGCCCATTGTATCATCGCCCTCTTCCCTTTAGTGTAAACATTAAATGAAAAGGAGGAGACATTGCCTCTTTTTTTGTCAATCCAATCCAATCCAATCCAACTTTATTTATAAAGCACTTTAAAAACAACAGCGTCGACCAAAGTGCTGAACACAACAATGAGGATTACATTAATAAAACAGTAAAAACAAAAGTACATAACATTCCAAAGTCGAACTTCTCAGGTTGTGTTAAAAGCCAAGGAAAAAAGGTGTGTTTTAAGAGAGGATTTAAAAGGAACAAGAGACTCTGTCTGTCTGAGGTGCAGGGGCAGTGCGTTCCACAGTTTGGGACCAGCAACAGCGAAAGAACGGTCGCCTCTGGTTTTTCTTTTTGTTTTGGGAACAACCAGCAAAGACAGATCTGCTGACCTCAGGGAGCGTGCAGGGGTATAGGGCTGCAACAGGTCAGACAGATACTGAGGAGCAAGACCATGAAGACATTTAAAAACAAATAAAATTATCTTAAACTCAACACGATATGAAATAGGGAGCCAGTGCAGTGACCTCAAAACAGGTGTAATGTGCTCTCGCCTTTTGGTGCCAGTTAAAAGGCGAGCAGCAGCATTTTGTACAAGTTGAAGTCGAGCGAGAGACGACTGATTGAGTCCAAAATAAAGTGCATTACAATAGTCTAAACGATTTGTGATAAAAGCATGAATTAAAATCTCAAATAAATGCTGAGGAACAAATGGTTTTGCTTTGGACAGTTGCCTGAGCTGATAAAAGCTGGACTTTACAACAGATCTGATCTGAACGTCAAGCTTCAGGGCACTGTCCAGCTTCACACCGAGGTTTGTCACAGTTGGTTTTAAGTATACTTCTAAAGGACCCAAATCCACAAAAGAGGAGGGGGCATCTTTTGGGCCGAGCAGCAAGACCTCAGTCTTTTTGTCATTTAAATGTAGAAAATTTAGTGACAGCCATTCATGAACTTCCTCAATACACTTCAAAAGTTGCTTTGTACAATATCCATTGCCATGTTCCAACGGTAAATAAATCTGGCTGTCATCAGCGTAGAGATGGAAAGCAACATTGTGCTTACGCAAGATGGACCCGAGTGGCAGGAGGTATAGTGAGAACAGAAGAGGGCCAAGTATAGAGCCCTGGGGCACACCATATTTTATGGGAGCAGTGGCGGACTCTACATCTCCGATTCGAACACAAAAACTCCTGTGCGTAAGGTAGGACCTAAAACACTTAAGGGCGCTACCACGAATTCCCACCCAGCTCTCCAAGCGAGACAGAAGTATCTGATGATCTATTGTGTCGAAGGCTGCGGTTAGATCAAGCAGGACAAGTGCAACACAGTGGCCAGAGTCTGTGGCTAAAAACACATCATTAAGTACTCTTAGCAGGGCTGTCTCGGTGCTGTGACGATTCTTGAACCCTGACTGGAACGTCTCAAGAATGTTGGACTCCTCCAAAAATGTTTTTATTTGGCCGTAGACCACTTTCTCCAATACCTTGGAGAGAAAGGGGAGTTTTGAAATGGGCCTAAAATTTGTTAAAATAGATGAATCAAGGCCAGGCTTCTTAATCAATGGTTGAACAGCAGCATGTTTAAAACAAGTGGGGACTGTCCCAGTAGTTAAACTACCATTGATAATGTCAACAGCAAATGGCGCTATAGTGGGAAAAACTTCCTTAAGAAGTCTGGGTGGAAGTGCATCGAATGGTGAACCAGAGGGTTTCATTCGACCAACTAAGTCACTCAAGAAGGGCAGACTAACACGCGCAAAATTATTAAAGACAGCAGTACAAGAAAAAGGGATGGATGGGTCAGAAGTGGGCAGTACAATGGAAGCCCTGGTATTTTCTACCTTATTAGTGAAGAAGCTTGAGAACCTTTCACATAATTCCACTGAGGTTTCCATACAAGATGGTCTGGGAACATTAAGCACACAGTCAATAGTCTTAAACAGAAAACGAGGATTATGACTGTTTGATAGAATAATATTGGAAAAATGCTTAGTTTTTGCATGCTTCACAGTTTTTTGATAAGTGCACCAGCTTTCTTGAAGGTTCTGAAAAGAAACTTGTAGCTTGTCCTTCTTCCACTTTCGCTCAGCTCTCCTACAATCACGCCTGGCAGTGCGTGTTGCCTCATTTAGCCAAGGTTCACTTTTGAGCTTGGGGAGCTTTGTCTTGAGTGGGGCAACTACATCCAGAGAGCTTTGACATAGTGAATTAAAGTGAGAACAAAGTGTCTCTAGATCTACATCACTGTGCCTAGACCCCGAATAAGCCATAACCTGGTTTTGGAGGAAGACGGTGGAGAACTGCGCAGCAGTGCTAGGGTTAATTACACGACACTGCCGCGCTGCGGCGCATGGTTCAACCACCTTGCACAAGACAGGAATATCAAAAACAACTGGCATATGATCAGAAAAGAAGGCCTCATGAACAGTCACATTGGAGGCACTAAAGCCGTGTGTTAAAACCAGGTTTAGCGTGTGTCCACGTTCCTGAGTCGGCCCAGAAACACACTGAGCGAGATTAAAAGAGCAAAAAGATTGAGGAAGTCTTTTGCCAGTGGCTTATCAGGACAACACACATGTATATTAAAATCCCCCACAATTAAAACTTGATCATATTTGGGCATTATTTCGGAAAGAAAGTCAGCAAAGTCCGTGATAAAGTTCTTATTATATTTAGGTCAAGAAAAGGCCTGTAGATCAGGATGATGAAACCTGAAGGTCAGACTCGGAGGCAGTATGTTTTGGGAATGTCCATGATGAGGAATTTGTTGTTGTATTAAAATATAGCTTACATTATTCAGTTTCAGAGGATGAGAGGGAGTCACAGACAGGTGCAGGATTGTCTATTGGCAGAATTATAGAGGCGTTTTTTCACACAAACAAAAAAAATCAAACAAAAGAAGCTAAGATTACGGATGGAGTGCAGTCGCTTGACCCCAAAATATTTTTTAAAGAAGAGCCCCTGTTTTCATTTGGCAGAACCTTTCAGTCAGATATAGAGGACGAGGTATGAGGTACGTCAAACTAGGTGGATTCTTGGGAGAAAAAAATGGATTAGAGAGTGCCTATTGGACTTCCTTGTCCTTTTGGAACGTTTGAAAAGTGTTTCATGAGCTTTTGAGGCTTGCAAAGATCTTTTTAATACCTGTCAGTACTGCGTCTTGTGAAAGAAGTTTCTCTGCCCTAAAACGTATTAAAAACCATCTCAGAACTATGGCAGATGACTGAGTCATCTTGGTATCCTCAGTGTAGAGTCAAGGAGGGCTCAATATGGATGAGTTTGTCAACATCTTTGCTGCTTTACACCAGAACCGCAGGAATTTGCAAAATTTGTTAAAAGAAAAATGAAATGCAATGTTTGAATGATGTCATTTTGTACTTTTTTTTGTTCAGACTACTGTTTAAATACGCTTTTTTTCTTTGTAGTTTCCAAGTGTGCTCTCAGTTCACTTTATATAAAGAATAAACATAAGATTAAGATTAAAATGTATCGTTTAGCCAGTTTTTGTGTGAAATAAAATGTCTGAATAGTATGAATGTGGACCCCTTAAAAAAAAACCTTGCCACCCCCTGTTTAAAAGTCTGGCTCCGCCACTGTTTGGAGCATAAACAAGAATAAAAATCAAATCCTTGGCTCAGGGCTTGATTTAATATTTGAAAATATACCAATGTATATACATCCCCAGAAAATCATAAGAGT